ATCTTCCTGCCTCTGTCTTCCAAGAGCTGAGGTGACAGATGTATACCATCACATTTGCCCTTAATAAATAGTCTATGAATAAAACATTTAAATGAACAATGAACAGATGGATATATTTTATTGTACTTTCAAATGGAACATGAAACAGAAATCTTAGTACTACATCCAAACAATGTTTGGGACAATAGTTTAAAAAATATTAATCACTTAGGGCTGGAGGCACAAATCAATAAGGTTCAATCTCCAACATCATCAAAATAAATAACTCAGAAACAATTATTTACACAGACTATGTCCACTACCACAAATGATTGTCTCTAGAAAATGTATTATGCTTTAGCTTACTTATCAAAGACAATTACCATGTGTATTCTTAAGAGAAAAAATAGGTGAGGGGACGGCCACTGTTTCAGCCTGAAATGTCCCCCATATGTTTCTGTTTTGAAGGCTCCTTCCCTCGTTGGTGGTGCTCTTTAAGGAATCCTAGGAACCTTTATGTATTTGAGTGAATCAGCAGTAACTAATTATGGATGAAAGGAGTCACTTGCTGACAGAATGACTCAATTTATAGCTATTATGAGCCAGGTGGTCAGCAGTCTCGATACTTAATTTTACATGTGCAACATCTCAAACTAAGAAAACATAAAAGCATTTGATTAAACACTAATGCTGAAAAACTAAAGATGTATACAAAGAAAACCACTTTATCATATACTTAGAGTGATGAAAGAAACAACTGTATATATTTTGTATCTGCTATTGAAAAAAACTATAATTATTCTGTTCACACCTGTTCATGCTAATATAACTCAAGTTTCTAGGCATTAGTCCTCACAGCTACATGGTACAACATGTGACCCCCAAAGGGAGTATCACCATTAGTAGGTATGGCCTTGTTGTAGTCTTGTTAGAGGAAGTCTATCACTATGGATGTTGGCTTTGGGATCTCATATATGCTCAATCCACACTCCATGAGACAGTCCACTTCCTGTTGCCTACAGGATGTAGGATTCTCAGCTACTTCTCTAGCATCATGTCTGCCTGCACACTGCCATGTCTCACCATGACGATAATGGACTGAAGCTCTGAACTATAAGCAAGCCACCCCAATTAAATGTTTTCCTTTATAAGAGTTACTGTGGTCATGGTGTCTCTTCACAGCAATAGAAATCCTAACTAAGACACATAGTTCTAAGTCTTAACCAAAACAATGTGGCCTCTCATAAATTATGCCTCAATGAAAAGAAAAGATCCAAAATAAAAAACTGAAGATAAGATCTGAAGGTGAGATCCTATGACAGAAAACACCTTAGAAAGTAATGTGAATGCAGGTTCAAAACATTGAAATACTTTTTTGTAAGACTATCCAGGTTATAATGTAGTCTATCATTTCATGTTCATCACTAATTACATTTTATTTTTAGACTATTCGTTCGAAGATTACTACATCTGGAGGTGAGGGTCAGCAAGAATGACAACAGGTCAAATACTAGTTCTCATCTACTGGCAAAACCTGATTTACACATCAACCTGAAATTTCCACACTTTGCTTTACAATGGTGGTACTGGGCGTCTGTTAGATACAGGGGGAAAAAGTGATTTGAATTTTCTAAAGAAGTAATTTAGGATGACCTCAAATGGAGTTTGGAACTGTATGTTGTTTCTTCTTGAAATGTTTGCCTTACCTTAATAAATTAAAGGTAAAAGAAAAAAAAAAGGAAAAGTCGGTAAAGCTGGTAAATTAGCTCAATTTAATCTTTCTACAAAGCATGTGTGTGAGTTACTTTTCTGTGATAGGGTACTCTGACAAAAAGCAACTCAGAGGAGAAAGGGGGTTAATTGGGCTTAAGATTCCAAAGAGGTTACAGTCCATCACTGTGGGAAAGGCATATAGCAGAAGCACCAGGCTAGTCTGGCAGGAAGAAGGCTGATCACACTTCATTTGCTCACAGGAAGTAGAGGGAGAACAGGAAGTAGGGCCAGGTTATAAAACTCAAAGCCTGTCCAGGAGACACACTTCTTCCAGCAAGGCTGTACCTCCTACAGATTCTATAGCCTTCCCAAATAATGCTTCCAGCTAGGGACCAATCATTCAAACAAATGAGGCTATTAAGGATATCTCATATTCAAACTGCAACATATATGTGTATATATACACACATATATATTATACCACATATGTATTCATTTGTGTGTGTGTGTGTGTATATATATATGTATATATATATGCCACATGACAAATAAATACATGAATGCAACAAAGTTTAGGGTTAACATAATTGTTTTATGATTCCAATTGTCCGCTTTAACCTTTAGATAAAGTATCATTCATTTCTTTAAAATTATTAAAGATAAATTATATAATCAATGTCTAAAAGGGTGGCTACATTTTCTTAAAACAGTCCAGCTCTGTGGTGGTTAATATTGGTTGTCAACTTGACAGGATCTAAAACCACCTAGGAGACAAACTTCTAAGCATGTCCACTACGGAGTTTCTAAACTGGAAAATTAGTATGGAAAAAGCCCATCCCAACTGTGGATGACACCATCCCATGCAGTGGACTGAATAAAAATCAGTGAGCTGAGCATGAGCCTTCATCTCTCTCCACTTCCTGACTGTGGCTGCAGTGTGACCAGCTACCTCACACTTCTGTTGCCAAGACTTCTCCACCATGAAGAACTCCTAGGTGACACTGTGAGCCAAGATAACACTTTGATTCCTTCAGCTGCTTTCATCAGGTGGCCCGTCTCAACAATTAAGAGGTACCTAACACAAACTCTAAATCTGGCTGGATTTGGAAGAATAAACACTTCTTTCTTGAGGTTGTATGCAAAACCTAGACTTCTAAAAGTGAATGTATCTTTGTAGTCACACTGAAGACTGGTTTAATGCTCTGTGGATGCTTTTTCTTTTTTAAAATTAAATTAGCATTAGAATTAAGTTAGGATGTCAGCTTAAATTCAGACTCACAGCAGTTCCAGAAAAGAAAAAGAACTAAAATAGTATAAAAAACATTACCAAAAACTTTTAAACATGAATTTCCATAATGAAAGGTCTTTAAGTATCTAGCACAAACAATGAAAAAAAACATTCAAGCCAAAGCTCATTATGGTGAAAATTCTAATATTTAGATAATAAAAAGATTATAAAATGTTTTACAGAAAGAAAAATTATCTCCTGCAAAGGTGTGACAAGGGCAAGGGTACTCTGGCAAGGGTAAGACACAGGATTTTAGTATCATTTTACTTCTAACAATACACAGAAAGTGAAGCAATAATAATTAAGTAAATAAATACAAATAATAAAAGAACTGAGGAGATTATTCAGTGGTAGAGCACTTGTGTAGCATGCATGATGCCCTAGATTTGATCGCAAGTAACATTAAAAAAAAACCCTCTAAATATGAACAAAGACAAAATAAACTCACTGACTACTTACCAGATGTTCCATTCTGTTCCAAGTATATTAACTCATTTAATCCCCATAACCCCCTTTGAGCCTGTTAGCCTCTTTTACAGATGAAGGAACAGGCATTGAGGCATACATACTTAATTTATAATGCCACCACTAGTAAGTGTCCAAGTCAGATGTCTAGCTTTCTAAGCATAGTCATGTAACTATGTGTCAAGGTCTGTCAAATCTAAAGTCAATTTTTAAAAAGAAGGAAAGAAAACACTATTTGCATGCTCTTTACCATGTTAATGTTTCCAGATCAACCACAGCTGACTAAAGTTCTTGCATGATCAATCAAGACACAAATGTCATGCTATTCTCCTAAGCCAGAAAACAGCATATGTGTCGTGTGGAGGGCTGAAGGCTGAGTGTTTGCCAGTACTTTACTATTTCGTTTTTTGGATAAAAGTACTTTACACAGTGTGCTTGTGATTTAGCACTAAATGAAGGTGCTTGGTGTAGGTTCCCTAACTTGAATGCACAGCCAACTTCACCCAACACACACACAAAAAGCTCTGTACTTGTATCTGAGCACTACTGTACACTTACAAATGGCATAAACAATATAAATTTTTAATAAGGTTAAAAAGGGCACAGCTGCCATTTTCCTAAATTATTTTCACCTAATCTAGTCTTCTATTCTTCTAGACTCTCTAGACCAATTTCCTAAATCATGTACATGACAATTAAATACAGAGCTGAATGAAGCACCACACCCTTACTCCTGCCTTACCTTACATCACAAACTTCGCTACAGTTCAACATTGTCATGTGATGCCTCTCCAGCAGTAGGCCACCTTTGCTGTCCTATCTATGTTCTGTTTGTTTTGTCACCTAGGGATTCAGGTTTTAATGAAAAAGAGAAATGTACTTCTTTTGAACAAGTTTCCCTTTCTTTTCCAGTTTGGCAGCATCTTTCCTGGGATTTCCACACACTAATGCAGCAGGTTTTGATCGAAAGGCACCTTTAAAACTCAGCCTGCGCCGGGCGGAGGTGGCGCACGCCTTTAATCCCAACACTCGGGAGGCAGAGGCAGGCGGATCTCTATGAGTTTGAGGCCAGGCTGGACCGACAGCCTCCAAAACAATACAGAGAAACCCTGTCTCGTAAAAACAAAACAAAACAAAACCTCAGCCTGGGCTTGCTTCTCTTAACATTTTCTCTTGCCTTGCCCAGTTGGTTTCGTTCTCCCATTCACGCGGTCCTCCATTTCTTCTTCGTTTTTATGTCTGTCACTTGTGGTGAGGGGGGTGTGTAGTTTGCATTTGGTTGCTCCACGGTCGCTGCAGCAACCTCTAGGGGTCCTGATGCATCGGTGACAGCATCCTCTGCATCTTCCCAGCATCCCTGCGAACGGGGACGCCTGGCGTCGATCTGTGTCGCTGAGTGGAGGCTGCCCACTCGCTGTTGAGGGTTCACAGTGCCTCCACAACCTGCACTGCCAAGCGTCGCCGTGGCCCCCAAGCCCTCCCCGAGCAGGTGGGGACACCTGGCAGCCCCACCCTCCGGGGGGTCACCGGGGCGCGCAGGCGCTCAGGCACTCACCGTCTCCTTAGCGGCGGCCACCGGGATGGGTAGCAGCCCCCTGGCCCGGGGCAGGTCCTCGGGTTCCGGGACCGCTAGCTCCGAGGGGTCTGCTCTGGGGTCCCCATACAGCTGGTAGCACACGAAGCCGACCAGCCCCCCGCCCGCCGCCGCCGCGATGCTCAGCTCACTCCAGCGCCGCCGCCGCCACGCCGCCTCAGCCACGGCCCCCTCGTCCTCCTCGCGGCAGGAGAAGGGCCGGCCCGACAGCCCGGGAGCCGTGCCCGCAGGCCGCCCCCACGGGGACAGGAAGGGCTGCTGAGGGCCGAGAGGCGGCGACAGCCGAGGCGGCGGCCACAGGAGCCTGCGGAGCGCGGCCATAGCGGGAGCCGCGGCGGGAGCCGAGGGTAGCGGCTGGGGGACGGGAGGGGGCGGTGCTGAAACCTCGCGAGAAGTCGCTGCGGTGCGAGCCCGTGCTGCGGCCGAGCGCCCGCAGCCGCCGCCCGGGGCCTTTCCGGAGCAGCTTTGGGGGTGCCGGGTCACCGCGGGGAAAGCTATGGAGCTGCTGAAAGGCCGGGTTGTTCCCCGTCGTGCCACCCCAGCTCAGCCACGCCGTCGTCTTAGATAACGGCCCCCGCAGCCCGTGGCACCTGGCGAGGGAAGCCACGGGGAACCGCTCGTCGGCGGAACTCCAGGAGCGGAGGCTGCGGGGGCTACCCGGCGCCCCTCCCAGAGACGCCCCGCTCCCCTCCTCCCCTGACACCCTGGGAGAGACTGGTGGCAGTGTCTTCACGTGCACAAAGAAACGAATTAAGAAAGGTGCAGACGTTTGCTTCAAGTCCCAAGGACTGCGGTTCTGAATCCAAAATAGGTGTTGGGACTGCATGGTGGTGGTTTCTGGACGGGCAGGCGCTAATGATTTGTAGTTAGCGGTAATATGTTTCGGGAACACTAGTATACCTGATAGCACTCAGTCCAAGAAGACTGTCCAGTATGTAAAACAACGGATTTTCAAAATTCTTAAGGCTCGGTTGGCATCACTGACAACTGCAGGGTGCCCTCGTTAGGTTTGCACACGTTATACTTTTTGTGTGTGCACATTGTCGGTGTCAGCTTTATGACTTGAATTACACTTGCCCTGCTCTTCAGGTAGAATGGTGCCAGGAACCCCTGGAATGTTTCAGGTCTAGGATAGACAATAAAGTCCAGTAGTTTCAATTAGTCGGTTATGATTCTTGTTAAAAGCTAAAGACAGAGACAATCAAAATGAGGTTTTCTAGCCTAAATCCTGCTATTTCTGTCCCTCATCTGCAAGTAATCTAACACATATGCTGTGATACGTTTTGCTTTAATATAGGCTCATAGAACTTTATTTCCTTGAAACTACTAAAAATGGTAAAAAAAAAAAAAGTCTGTGACATATAAGGACAATGTCTATTTTAGGATATTATTGCTTTTCCACTTAAGCCTGTTAGTAACCAACAGGAAGACATGGCGGCTCCTTACTTTTCCAGACTTTTTTCTCAATGTTTATAGTTTTCGAATTCTAGAATTTTTCAGATTTCCCAAAGCATGTACTTCCCGAAGTACATGTACTTTATGTATACACGTACATAGTAGTGTGTGTATCATAGTTCCTCTAAACTTGTCTTCTTTGAGCTGAACGCAATTTCCAGATATTTTTGTAAGTTTTCCAACATGAACTATTATTAGAAATTTGGACAGGCTAGATTTTTATTGATGGCATGTTAAAAGCTAAGACTCCAGCAGTCTATGGGACCTTGGGTAGTAGATCAATATTTCCCTGGCATACAAATGTACTCTTGGAGCCCATTCCACGTCAAGGGATGCTTTCTCGGCCTGGACACATGAGGGAGGGCCTAGGCCCTGCCCTGGATGAAATAACAGACATTGGAGATCCCCCGTGGAGGGCCTCACCCTCCCTGGGGAGCAAAGTGGGTATTGGGTGGTGGGGTTGGTGGGGAGGAGAGGGAGAGGGAGATGGGATTGACATGTGAAACAAGCTTGTTTCTAATTTAATTTTTTAAAAAACTGAAATAAAAAAAGGACTATAAGTGAAACTGGAAAGAAATATATACTGTCATCCAAAGAGGAAATCAACGAATTAGCCAAGATGGTGTTACATGTATTTGGCTTATGCCCATAGTTACTATTTTCTCCATTTTAATAAAGTTATAGGTCATATTTCTTATAAGCATTTTCTATGTGGATAAGCCAAATTCTGTTGTAAGAGTATAGGGCACTCAAGTGTGGGATAAAAACATCTCACTGTGCACAGAAGTTGTCCATCTTCCCATACTTCCTTTTTTTAAACCCCAGCTCTGTTAAGAATACTCATTGTTTTCTTCCCTTGGTATATGCTCTGTAACAGTAGCTACAGCAAAGTAGCCAAATTGCCACACTCTCTGCTTATCCTTCCAAGTTTACTCCCTGAAACAAAAGTGAAAAGAAAACATGGTATTAGGAATTTGGAACTTCTTGAAATTTCAGATACTATGTTTGAATAAATATTAGACTCAGCCTAATTTCCATCTGGGGTCAATTTTAAAAGGGAATCAGTGATTACCCTCCCCCCCTGCAAAGCCCATGTTCCATACTAAGAACTCATAATTTCACTATGGTCTAAGTGAAAAATAGTGTTCTGAAAAAAAAACTAAAGAAAATTCAAGGATTAAGCCAGAAATGGTTCTTGAGGAAATTATTTATATTAAACAAGTAGAAATTAGGGGCTGGAGATCTGCAGTTTAGTCCTGATTGTACAGTAACAATTATAGTGTCTTGAAGGCTACACTTCCATATCAATAGTGGCTAAATAGGTGGCTGACCTAATGAATCTGTTACAGATCTTGTTTCATTTCATATGTATATAACATGGATTTTCTAGTATTTGTTTTTGTTTGTCTTTTGTGTTTTTTAGCAGTTGTAGGGCACAAAGCATCTCTTACATGTTATATCCTTAAATCTGCAATTGCAAATGCCCTACTTGGCCTTGTGTATTTTCAACTTAAAAATTACATTTCATATGCCAGGAAGTGGGTGTATGTCTTTATTCCCAGCACTTGAGAAGCAGAGGCTGGTGGATCTCGGAGTTCAAGGCCAGCCTGGTCTATAGAGTTCCAGGACAGCTAGTGCTACGCAGAGAAACCCTTTGTCTTCTGAGATTCATGCAGTCTCTTTGCTGTACTCCCCTATAAAAGCAAAATAAAAAAATACAGATCACATGCTTCCAACATATGATGGCATAAAATATACATTACCCTTCCAAAATGAGGGAAGGGAATATAGGAGGAAATCCTGGACCAAAGCAAGACTGGAAACAATCCAGATAAACTCCAAATTGCATCTCCATGTCTGATGTCAAAATGCTCTTCAGATCTCCAACTCTGTTCAACTTTGTTGACTGCAACACGCTTCTTTCTTTTGGACTGGTTCCCTCCATTAGAACCTCAGCAGCTATCTCACAGCTCTGGCATCTCCAACATCTTGGGGTCTCCAAGACAATCCAAGCTTCACTTTCACAGCTTCATACAATGACCTCTCTAGGCCTCAATTTAGAGACACCTCAACACATGTCTGGTCTCAGTGGCTTTCCTTAGTCATTTCTTGACTTTAAAGCCAGAACTATGTGGCCAAAGCTGCCAACTTCTGCTTATTACATCTTCACCTGCTTTCTGGTTTCCATCACTGCTTAAGCTTGGCTGTCCTGAAACTTGCTCTGTAGACCAGGCTGACCTCAAACAATGAAACCTACCAGCCTTTCTGCCTTCTGAGTGCTAGGATTAAAGGTGTGTACTGCTACACCCTGCTCTGAGCTTTTCTTTAATTCCTTTTCACAAGGGGGAAACTTAGCTGGGTGGGATCTTGCCCTAAGGTTACCACTCCCTTTATTTCATAATGTATATCTCCTTGAACACAAGCCTTAGCTCAATTCCACTTCCTGGTGCTCCTTTTCTCCTTGAATTGGATATTTTGCATTTTTCCTTACTCAGCTTGCTCCTTTTCATTATAAATCGTCACTAGAATTAACACTAGTAACCACACAAGAATTTACACAGAAGAGTCTATACTAGATTGTTTTGAGACTTCCTCTGGCAACAGAATCCAAAACTCTTCACTTGAGTCTCAGGTAGGCTCTTTGGACAAGGGAAGAAGCAGTCACATTATTCACCAAAATATCGCAAGACCAGTCTGTAGGCAACATACTAAAATTCTTTTCTCTGAAGCCCCTTGAGCCAGGCCCCTGCAGTTCATCAAATCACACGGCACCACTGTCTTCCATGCTCCTACTAGTATGACCCATGAAGCATTAAGTAAAGCATTCAACTTTTTTCTAAATCCACAGTCCCAAGGTCCATATTCCTTCAAACAATAGTATGGTCATGCCTATCACAGTGATACCCCAGTTCCTGTTACCAGTTTCTGTCTTAGCTAGGGTTTCTATTGCTGTGAAGAGATACCATGGCATGGCAACTCTTACATCATCATTTTGGCGTACAGGAAGATATGGTGCTAAAGAAGGAACTTAGAGTTCTACATCTTGAACCACAGGCAGCAGAAAGAGAATGTGTCACACTGGGCATGGCTTGAGCATAGGAGACTTCAAAGCCCACCTCCACAGTGGCACACTTCTTCCAATAAGACCGCACCTACTCCAACAAGACTACACCACCTAATAGTGTCACTCCCTATGAGCTTATGGGGGCCAGTTACATTCGAGCATCCTGTTCTGAAAAAACAAAACAAGAAAAGTGGCATCGCCTGACCTAACTATGTTAGCTTTTTGATACTTGCCATCTTGTAAATAAGGGAGTAACTTTTACATATTGAAAGTGTGAAACTTAAGTATGCCTGTCAGAAAGAGCTTAAACTCCCATAGAAGCTTATCATTTGTCTTAATTTGTGCACCTGAGCTCCCAAAGCCTGACTCGCTGGAAGAGAAGCACATGCTCGTATGTGCACGCGCTCTCCCTCACCTCCAGGTCTGCTCAATCCTGATTACAGCAGGACTGTAATAATCCCAGTCTTCTCCTTGAGGCAAGCTGTCCCCAACATCACCCCCAGTCTTGGAGGCTGTGAGACTTAGAGGCAGTTTGTACTCTGTGTGATTACAATCCTCCCTTCTCTTTTGTCCTGAGAGCTAGCCACCAGGACCTGGAGCGCAATTCCAAATGTCTGAGTTTGTGATAATGAAGTTAGTTACCCGAGGCATGAGGGATTCACTTTTTTTGAGAATCCCCCACCTTCAGGGACAATGATCTGTGCTTAGCCTCTTTGCCTTACTCTGACCTAAGGTGTAGCTGAGCAAAGTGGAGTCAGAACAATTATGCAGCCCAGCTCCTGCCACATGACAGGGCCTCAGTAGTTAGTTAAAATGAAGGGATTTTAATGTGATTGTGAAATGGAGAGG